AACTAATTTACTGTAAGGCTTCAGATTGTGGACACTAGCTGAGACAGTATTCTTCTCACAGTGATGTAAAAGATGTGAGATAAAATTTGAAGCTTGGATTAAAATTGTATAAAATTTTGTTAATTGATAATAAATATGCTGAATTTTAGATTAAAATTATATTGTTATTTACACCTCTGATTAAAATATATCATAAAAATAGTTTGCAGTAGGGCCTTTAGTGTTATGAAGTAAAAGGATCTAAATATAGAATATTTGAAGTTCATGATATAAATCAATGGAGAAAGTTTGAAATATTTGTAAATTAAATAGTAATGAGGCAAGAATACTGTATAATATAAAACTGCATAAAGTTCAGAAGGTTTACTATATTAATGAAAAAGGTAGTAAAATGAGATATAGATTTTAAAAAGGCAGCTGATAATCAAGACTACATGTTTTGGTGAAAAAGACTGGATGTGCTAGACTTGTTCTGAAAAGGTGTATTTAACAATATTTTTTAAAACCTCTGTTTCAAGTGTTTATTTTGAAGGTAAAGTTGTTTTAGCTGGGCAGAGACATCCTTATTAATGGATCTTTACATTCGAAATCAAAAGTTGCAAAGATCCATAAGGATATTTCTTAAAAAATTGCCAAATAGAGTTAAAAGTCTGCTCTAGTAAAAACTAGGGCGTCGTCTGCTAGTGTTGACACAACATATAAAGGAATGTATAGGCTATTATTACTACTGTTTTAAGCTATAGGGTTATAGAGACTAGTCCATTCTGATGAATTAAGATGGTAGGTACTTTAAAAACATGTTAAAATATATAAAAGTTATATATATACACTTATAAAATAAAACTATGAAAATTCAATGTTAATTGAATTGTCAAGAGTGATGTTAACAAAACAGGAGGGTAATATAAATTTTTGGATAAAAACATGTCTGGGGTAAAATTGTTTCAAGTAGATGAGTGCATTAGCTAAAATATTTTTATATAAAAGGACAAGATCTATATTGCACTGAGGGTTGTCTATGTGTAGGTTCCTTCGAATGTAAATAGTCTGCCTTGCACAGGATAAAATTATGTTTAGAAGCTCATTTGGAATGGATTTAGTAAAAGATTGAAGTCCAAAAAGGATAAAACATTTAAAATCATGATGAGTAAAACTAAAAGGTAAAATATCAAGCAACATTTGCTGAAT